CCCTTTTACCCTCCCTTCTTCCCTCCCTCCCTCCCTTCCATCCATCCTTCCTTTCCTCCCTCTCTCTCTTTCTCCTTTCCCTCTCACCCATCCCCACCCTCAAACCCCAAATTCTTCCCGGCCTCTCCATCAGCTCACCCCATCACCCCAGGGTCTACAGCACACCAGCCCCCCCCGCACCCCGCCCTTGCACGGCCCCCCCAGACCTTGTACTCGAAGGCAGCCAGGCAGAGGTAGAGCAGGTCCAGGAAGCGGCCGAGCTGTGGCAGGCCGAGGTCGGCGGCCCAGCGGTGCAGCAGGGCGGGCTCGGAGCTCTTCAGCACCCACAGGACGCAGGCCAGCAGCGTCCGGCTGGACTCGGCCGAAAGGGGACAGCCCCCCCGGGACGCCTGCACCCACAGGGACACACCTGTCACTTTCCACACGCCAGGAGCACGGCCCCACGGGGTCTCATGACCCCAGCCCTCGTTCCCCCTCGTGGGGTGGGGACAAGTCTGCTACTTACAGGTGACGGCCCCTGCGAGAGGCTGGCGCGGGAGCCGGGGGCCAGGGGGCCTCCGGCGATAGCCAAGGCCACGGAGGGGCTGATGGTCCCTCCTATGTCCCCTTCACCGTCTGTGTCAGAATCCAGCATGGAGGCCAGTCTTGACCTCTGACCTGGGCCCTCTAGGGGAGGGGGGAGAGCAGCAAGAGAAGAAGGTGTTGGTGAGTGTTACTCCAGTGTCTTCCGGAAGCTTCTAGAAGCTTCCCTTGATAGCACAGCATGGTGAGGGCTTGGCTATCTACACCTGGAATTCAGGATTTCTGGTCTTTGTTTTTGTTTTCTGTCCATTATGCGTTTTGAACTCTGGGCCTGGAGGCTGTCCCTCAGCTCTTCAGCTCAAGGCTAGCACTCTACCACTTGAGCCACAGCATCACTTCCGGCTTTTTTCTTTTTGCTTTATGTGGTGCTGAGGAATCGAACCCAGGGTCGTTTTGTCCGTGAGAACCAGCCTATTTGGAAAGGATGCGCATTCCATCGAGAATACATAGACAGTGATACCACGCACTGGGAACATCACTCCTCTACTAGAATTTTCCTTGAATCTGA